TGGTTAAAACCGCAATTGGATTTTATAATAAATGGATATAATGTAATAAGAAATGACAGAGAATATGGCAGAGGAGGAGGCATAGCAACATTTATACAGAATGGGATGAAATATAAGGAAGTAAAAATAAATGCAAATTATGAATCAATTATAAATAAAATATGGACTGAAAAAGGTTGTAAATACGTAATTAATTATTATAATCCGCATAAAAAATTAAGTCAGAACATCTTAGAGGATGTAGTTGGACCAATACAAGACAGTCTTATATGGTGTGGTGATTTTAATTCACAAAATTCATTATGGGGGGTAATAGTACTGATGCAAATGGCATACTAATTGAAGAATGTATTGATATTAAGAATTCGGTGTGTATTAATAATGGAGAAGAGACATAATATAATAGCAAAAAAAAAAAATACAGAAATGGATCTTGACCTGACATTTGTATCTAGTTCAATAGCAGGGGTTAGTGATCAAACATACTACAGTAGGGAGTGACCATTACCCGGTAGTGACTAAACTTGGTATTAAAGATATGCTATGAAAAGGAAAAGAGAATTCCTAGATGGAAACTGGAGAAAGCAAATTGGGAAGGTTTTCAAGAAATTTGGAAAAGATGTTTGACACTTCAAGTTGAGAATCAGATAGATCGGATGTAAATATATTTAATAATAAACTAGTTAATGAAATCATTCAGTCGGCTGAGGAAGTGAAACCTAAAAGTACAGCAGTGAGATACCAAGAGTGTACCCTGGTGGAATAATGACTGTAAGAAGCTATAAAAGCAAGAAATAAGGCATTTAGGCAACTCAAGAAACGAAACATGTCACATTTTGATAGAAATTTTTATTTGGATTTTTTATGAAAACACAAGGATGTTTATGATATTGTTTTTGTTTCAAATAATTTGTCACACATGGAATGAGTTATCTTTTTTATTAAGTGCTGTTAGGCCAGTTGTTCATCAATACACTATCCCTGTTTGAAATTAAAATAAGAATAAACTTCAAACTTGAATTTGAGATTCATTTTGTCATACACATTGAGGTCATGACTCACTTTTGCATTTCCATAATGCATTTATGATTCTACTACAGGTTCTATATCTGAAATGTTATTTTTACCATAACCCGCCTTTCCCTTGTCATTTCCACAACCACAAATATTTTTTGGTAAAACATAAAAAAAAAATAAGGTAATGATGGTGGTGGTGTTGATTATTTATCAGTTAAGGGTACAGTATATGTATATGAGTTGAAAAATATCAGATTTGAAAATATAATAAAATTCAGAAATAATGAAAGGTTTCAGTGGCTTAGTGTTCAGCGTTTTTTTGTTGTTAACTTTGTAAAATCTTAACCGTTGCATTTCAGAGAAATAAATGAATTTACAATTTGGAAACATGCAAGTGTGATGTGTAACCCAATATATTTATAACTACAAATATTTCAACATATTTGGTTGAAAACACATGTTTTTGTTCGGTTGTGGAAATTACAATTTATTTTGCGATGTCTGAAAAAAACATCAAAAAACATATTATTTCATAAAAATCAGCACAGCCAACTTCAGGGCAGGTAACTATACTGGGGAAACAAATTATGCCAGTAATATTTTATTTAAAAATGTTTCATTTTCTGAAAATATCCAGGTCTAAAAAGTACCATAGTTGGAGAATCACCCTGTAGGAAAGATAATAATGAGAGATGTTATCTTATTCAATCAATAAATAAAGTAAAACATCATGACTTTACTTTATCAGGTCTATTAAGGGAAACAGAAGGTGTATATGTTGAAATTATTATATGTAAAAGAAAGTAATTTTATATAATGGAATATAGCGTTTTTTGTTCTGTTTTTTTTTGTGTGTTAATTTGTTATGGTTTATTTTCAGTTTGTTTATTTGTTTTGCTTGGTTTTATGTTTTATTTATATTTTGTATTAAAGTATATAGCTTGATCCCATGCTTGATCCATATTCCATTCCAGTTGGTGGCGGTAATGAACCAATAAGATAGGTTGCCAACCGCCAATACACCAAAGGAGAAGAAAACGAAAACGAAAGTAACAACTGCTGACAACTAAACCTGTCGCTCACTGGATTTGATTTAATCTATGGTTCAGAAAACATGTCTATAGATGTCAATTTAGCACAATGCCAACCAAATCTAATAACACTCGCGGACATGTATGTGTTTAATCCATAGCGTAAGTAAGTTACATTTAAAAACATCAAAATAATAGACCCGCTGTGAAATGTTAAACACAATACAACTAACGTTACACACATCTGCTGCGAATTGTGCCGCCTGGCCGTAGTAGAGTGTTTCATTCATCACAGGAAACCCGTGACGTTTTCTTCTACGTTATTACTTCTATGTTCATTGCAAGGACCGTTCGAGTTTGAAGCAAGCTTCAGATGTAACCCTACTACACTCGCGGACATTTATGTGTTTAATCCACAATCCTTCGATTCGAGACCAGCAAGAGATTCTGAGAACGACGCGCGCGGACTGACAACAAGCGAGTTTAAAATACTGATAAATTCTCTTCTTAGAGGACAAGACTGCAAGTAAGTTTATTACATTCTCCATTACAGGCATTATTTATTATTAGGAACATCATATTGTATATTAAGTGAGATTTACAGAAGGCTGTTCTCCTGTTACTCCGAGCAGAAGAAGAATCTGACAGAAATTACAATCTTTTGAAGTAAAAACACAATAAGTTTTATTGAGAAACGTTTGTTCAACACGAATATGTTTCTAAAAAGTTTTCTCCCATTTCCTCTTCCGTGTTAGGCTGTTGTTGTTTTTTTATGTGAAATCAAAAGTATTTTTGAAGCAGACATTTACAGTAGACAGGCAGATGAAGCCTAACGACAATCAACAACAATCTGCTGTTATTATAAACTCAATATTTCAGTTCGTATAGCAATTATGATTAGTAGTAGGCTATTACAATATGTCTCTTATAATTTAGGTTACTTTTACTTAATCAGTCATTGTGAACTTGAACTAATGATTGAATGGCAAACGATTCAACAATTTATAAAGATTGGGTAAATATGATTATAAAATGATATTATACTGTAATAGAGAATATAACTAATTGGGTTCAGTTTTCCAGCACAGTGTACATTTCTGTTCCCCAATGAATTCATATTCAGTGTAGCAAATGCAACATTTAATAATATACATAAAATGTATTTAAGGGGGCCGAAGGCCAATTTAGCTCAAAGGGAAATGATTCATTGAGTTGCAATGAATCTATGGAACCGAATCACTGAACCGAGCAAACGACTCGCTTAGAATTCATTTGAACGGGCGTAATTATAACCAAATCTATAGTGAAACACTATCCCAGACAGCAAAAATCATGCGGGCCAGATCTGGCCAGAACCTTCATAAGTTCTGGGCCAGATCTGTAAAACGGACCCGGGCCGGTGTCCTTTAGCACAACGGGCCAATGCCGGTGTGGATCGGTTTTCACATCTGGGCCGGCACTGGCCCAGCTCCAGAACAGAAGAGAATTATTTTAGTTATTTGGCCCAAAGGTGGGCCAGATCTGGACCAGTTCCATACTGGATCCGGAATCACACCACCTCTGGCATCTGTCATAACCTTGATCTATACCACAAAAACAAACCATATACAAAAATACAGATTTTTTTCAGTTAAAGGGTAGTTTAGTTTGTTTTAGATGTTGTGCATGATTCAGCTTGTACTATGGGTCCTAGTAATAGATATCAGTGAAGGTATACCATTTCTGTCTGAGAAGTGTAACAAATAATGACTTGTATATTTTCAAAGTACACTAAAGCTGATGATTCACAGAGCAACTTTTAGAGCAATTGTACTGGGCAATGTTGTCGTCAATTGTAATGAGTAAATATTACTACTGTAATCCCCTTCCCCCACCATCTTACGATTTCTTGTTTTACTTGCGTTTTCTTTTTCCTAGCATTTTAAACCCGATTACTTTTCTTTCTTGGAGCACAAAGCATGGATAGTCAAAGCTGTTACACAGACTGTTTCTATTTGTCCTGCATAGAATTTCAACAAAGAAAGTGATAGAACAGATGAGTGACACATTTAAAATTTTATTTAAAATACACATTTTAAAATTTTATTTTAAAATGTCTAAAATAAAAAAGACAGGACAGAAACTTAAAACAAAGTAGATAATGCCAAACTAAAAATCAGTCTAATAAACACATTTCTACAGATAATTTCTGTCTTGAACAACTGTTGGAACAAAGGTGCCTACATTCAAACCGAAGCCATCTTTGAAAATTAGTCTCTACCAGTCGATCTAAGAACGCCGATCCATGTCCACCGGTGAGATGTGAATAAGGTGATAATGTGAGCGCGAACAGTTGGCTACGTGTACATATTGAAGAGAAGAAAACGGTTCGTGTTTGTGTTTCTTCCGAAAACAACGGACCATATAAGATTCTGCACAGTTCAGCGCACTTGGATCGGCGTTCTTAGATCGACTGGTAGAGACTAATTTTCAAAGATGGCTTCTTCCTGTATTCGCGAAGTTGACTGTGTGTATAAAATATCTTCTTATTAAACTCTATGGACACTGAAAAAGTTCTCAATGCTTCGGTTTGAATGTAGGGACCCTTATTATGCTGTCGTGTTAGTGTGGGGCTATTTTGAGCCTTGTTAGTGGTAATAACAAGCAATTTTTACTTGTCATTACTCTATGCCCTATATACTAGCATTATACTAGCACTATAGGCTAAACTGTTTTCAGAGATAAAACTATTTACATTCGGCAATCATGAAAACAAATCTCAGATAACAGTTGACTAGGTAGCAATGTGTAATTAGACCAAAGGTTCATTTTGCGCCGGAGTTCTCCTTTAAATCTGTATCTGTATTGCATTTTCAAACTTCAAACAAAAATCATTAAAATTAACAAGTTAATAGATGTTTTCTCTGGAAGTATGTTGGTTTGAGGTGAAAAAAGTTAGTCTGGTGCCCTGGTGGTCACACACCCGTGTAACAGCGTGAGAAGATGGCCTCCATTGTAGTCAGCGCTCAGTTGGTTTAGTTTGTCATTTGCTAAGTGATCGTAATAAATAAACACATAGGCTTACACAATCCCTTTCGTCCTATAGATGCATCCTACAGAATATTTCTATCGTTCCCAGGACAGCCCTGAAAAAATATGTCACTGTTCCTACATACGTACTACGTAGCTGCAATGCTATTAACAACAATTTGCAAAGTTAAACACAAAACAAATGTTTCTACAAAAGACTAGCACAATGATTTATCTACAATTTACCATGGTTAATGCATCTCTGGCCATGGCACGTTCTTTGCGGCCACCTCCGCGGTCAGAGGCCGGGTTGAACCAGCGGATGGCGTGCTGGTTAATCTCGTTGTCCGATGCGCTGCTAGCAACTTGGTTCTTCCGTACAGCCTCTGTTAAGAGAGAAAGTCAATTGGTTGATGGGTACAAATTCTGAAAATTACCTCTAAGTCAAGCCAATAACCCACTGTTTTGAGAAAAGCTTTAGATGTTGCCCATGTTTACTATTGTTGGTGTGGCAGAATACCTAATTTTGTGTAGACTTTCATTTAGTAACTCAAAACAAATGAATAACTAATCACAACTAGATTGTATTGGATCATCCTTAAATCAACCTTTTCAAGAGGAAGTGATTGTGAGTAACCAGTTCTGTCATGACTGCAATCTATTTCAGCACTGCTATCAAATTATTTTTTTTGGCTTTAAAGTTGCATCCCTTATTATGCATTATTAGTAGTGTAAAACTAGTAAAATAAAAATTCTTACTAGTAACATTTGGAATAAATACTAGTATCTAATAAATATGTACTAGTATCTAATGAATAAGTACTAATATCTAATGAACAAGTACTAGTATCTATTTAATAGGTACTAGTATCTAAAAAATAAGTACTAGTACCTAATGAATAACTACTAGTATCTAATGTATATGTACTAGTCACAATTGGAATACATACTAGTCAGAACTGAATAGTTGATATCTGAATGACAGATCCCCATGGAAGTCAATGGCAACAAAAGTCACAATATTTAGTCACAAAAGAATAGTCAGTCACTATCGCAATAAGTACTAGTACCTAATGAATAAGTACTAGTATCTAATAAAAAAGAACTAGTATCTAAGTACTAGTATCTTTAAAAAGGTTCTAGTACCTAAAGAATCAACACTAGTATCTAAAGAATGAACACTAGTATCTAAAGAATTACACTAGTAGCTATTGAATAAGTACTAGTACTTAATGAAATAGATACTAATATCTAAAAAATAAGTACTAGTAGCATGAAAATAGAGACTAGTAGGTTAAAATGATTAAATGTTAAGTGGCTTGCCATAACCCAAATAAATATCCAAATGAATCAGGCACTGCTCAACCATAATACCACGGCGGGATTTCATACAAAGTCAACGAAAAGAAACGGAGAGATGCGTTTTCCCGCCCATAGACCTTATATTTGTCATAATTTGACAGTGAACTTAGTAAACAATTAATTTACACCTATGAATTAACGTTAACTTATAATTAATGTCAGATGAAAATTCTAATTTCTTCTAGCTTTGATTTTTAATACTTTACCTATCATAACTTCATAATGTTGTGCTTTATCATAGCAGGATAAGGATTAAAAAAAAAAAAAAGTCGGAAAAAAAATACTTTAGTTAACTTACCCTATTAATCCGGGGCTCTCGCAGCCAGGGGTGAAGAAAATATCTAAAAAGGAAGACAGGTGCTGTTAACGTTAGTGCTGTTCAAAACTACGTATACAACATCATTGTAAGTTAACTAACGTTAAACAGCATTAATGTTTAAGCTAGCTACACACAAAGTTGTTTATTAATGCTAGCTTAGCTATCAGTTCATTCAGCTAACCCAGCTAAAAAGAGTACGTTACGTTAGCCAATCTTCTTCAATAGCCATCGTAAGAAGTTAAAACCCGGTCAAAACTTTCTGAAATGTTGATAACAAACATTACACCGCTATTAAAAATAAGCACACTAAACTGTTTGACTCTTTGATATCGTTCAACTTACCGTTATAAACTCTTTCCACGGAGCTTGCAGTCCGAAGATCCAAATGACCAACAGTTCACGCGCTCGTTCCAACGGCCCCGGGCCAGAACAACAACGATTCCGCCGACTGACTTCTGATCTGGAATGAACCGGTTAAAAAAAAAAAAGGAAACAATTCGCGCGCTCGTTCCGACGAGTCCGGGCCAGAACTATTATGATTCCGCCGACTGATGGATGTTCACGCCTACTCCCGATGTACACAGACTACATGCGGGCCGTATCTGGAATGGGGCAGTAAAACGGGGGTGACTGTTACACGGATCTGCCGGTTTGGAGGCGGATCCGGCCCAGAGTCAGCTGCTATCTGGGATGTCTCAGCAAGGTAACTTTAGATCGAACAGTACAAGACATTAAATGTGCAAACACGACACAAGAAAATTTATCTTTTCAAATATATGGAAGGCTTTATTAGCTATTCTAAACACAACTATAAGGTCTTAGGGCTGTCGCGGTTATGGAATTTCCCTTGCGGTAATATTGAGTGCTCAATAGCGCGATATGCGGTATTACCGCCATTTATTTATTTAATTTATATGTTTTTGTTGCTATATAAATAAAGTTTACGATGTGGACAAAAACGAGGACATTTTCAGTAAGCATTGTAACCGAAACTATACAGCGTCTACAGTATATATGCGCATTGAAAAACTTTCACTCAGCGCGCATATTGTTATGACAACGGACTTTGAGCGAGTCATTGAACCGTTCATTCCACGAACACGTTTAAAAAAGCTGATTCATTAAAAGAGATGTAAAGAAACAATATGTTAATTATTTCTAACATTGATGTTCAACTTTTCGAGGCTCAGCTGAGCAGCAATGCGTCGCATGGGCAACGCTGAAGCTGATGCTTCACTTATTAGAGACCCATTGATTCAATGCGTGACTCACTGATTTTATTTTGGCTTCCTTGTGCTGTGGGATGTTGAACAGCGCTGCTGCTGACGCGCATTTATGGGAAAATACACGTGAAGAGAACGTTAAAATGGTGATGCAACAAATATTTCGCTTCCCTTTGACACAACAAGCTTTTCACGACTTCAAAGACAGAGGCAGGTAATTGCACGCGCTCTGCCGATCTCTCTCATTCACTATCTGTGTGAAGCCTGTAGGCTACACATCACCATGATAAACAGTCTTGTTATCATTATGAACTGGTTTAACATTCAATACACATGCATTACGTTCAAAACAAGAAGGGTATAGCCTTATAAAAAAAAAAAAACGTGAATATCGCGGTTGCTGCGGTTACGTGCAATCCTCTGCGTTGTCTTGTCAGAAGCGCGGTACTACAATATTGTGGTTACCGCGACAGCCCTATAAGGTCTAAACATAATCACGCACACACACACACACACACACACATTCATACAGTCGAGAAAGGGGAAAGAATGAGTTGGAAAGAGTGAGAGAAAGTTTCAGCTTTCTATATGCATGTAAGACATAACCTGAAAGGACCACCAAGCATTAATTTGAACCTTCATTTCTTAGAGAGGTTATTCAATTAACATTAGCACCAGTTCAGTTAGAGCCTGGAGTACTTGCGCTTTGTAGTGGCTGAGGGAATTCCCTTTGTCTGCATCGCGTCGAAGGGGGGTTTCCCCGTCGGGTCTGTTGCGTGTTGGTTGTCTTTGAAGTGCAGGGATGGAAGTTCCTGAGTTTGCCGGTCACGTGTGACTAGCAAGCGAATGAGAGTCTTTTCCAATTCGAAGCGCGTTGCAAACTTAACTTTGAAACGAGACTTTTACGAAAAAGGAAAGAAAGGAAAGAAATGAAAGTAAGGCGAGTCGGATGGCTTGACTGAGCTGAATTGTAACCCTGATCTTGATGGGTTATTCGTCTGCTGGTCGAATTTGGTCTAGTCGATGTAGAAGCATGCGAACATGTTCTTTGTTTCAGAGATAAGCACGAACAGAACACTCTCTTGCTGGTTTTAGAGAGAGGCACGGACTTAACAGAACAAACACGAACAAAAATCTAACAGGCACGGAACATTGAACGGAACAACATCTCCACAAAAATCTCCTTATGAGGTCCTTTGTTCGGATCTTTAACTTAAACTCTAGTCCAACCTCCTAGAAACTTTTGGCCAATGAGGTAATGGCATGACTTTAGGAGGTGGATCTACTTCTTGCTTATCATAATTTATGCATGGTCTGTGAGCTGGTCTCCAGCACGTAGCAGAGAACAAAAGAACACAGTTTAAGATTATATATTATAATCATACAACAAAGCATTTTAGACAGATTTCAGTCAAGCCATCTTTTGAATTAGGAGAATACGGTTCGTTTAAGCGTAAACGAGGCATTCACACTTCTAATGGTTGTATAACAATTACGAGAGTTAATAGTAACAACAATTACACGATTATTATGTGATCTAAGCATAATAACACATGAAGTGTAGAAACAACAAGAATTAAAATTGGTTATAGGTCCAAGAATTGTTCTGTGGTGAGTTTATATGATTTTATGCGTGAGATCTCAGAGAGATCTCAACAGTGAGGTCGCTGAGAGTTCAACTCGTAGGGGACGAGGAGAGGTGTTCTGTTGAACATCTCTGTCAGGGGATCAAAGGGGTCTTTGTTGTGAGCCTCTCGTTCCACCATTTTGGAGCCGATTTGTCTTAGTAAAACATTACCATATTGACACGTTCGTCCTGTTTAGTGCCCATCTCTTGGGCCTGTGGGGCAATAAAATTCTTCTCTGAGTGGGGGAAGATTATCCCTTAAAGCAAACCCTTGGCGCCGTTCCGTGACTCTGGAATGTGGGCTCCAGAACTTTTGGAGTGTTGAAGCCATTAATTTGATTAAGTTGTGTTTGATTCGCCTCGATTCTCTACATCAGAGTCAGTTAAACTCATTAAACAATCAGAAATGATTAAGATCATTCGGTTATTTTACATGGCAATATATTTGTTTGTAACTCACTTTATTTGATAGATTGTTTTTGCTGTTGTTGATGATAAGTCTTTATTCTTCAATAAGATGTTGTTGATGTGTGTAAATGTTGTGATTTGCAGGTGATGCTGAAGGATTGAGTGTTTTCTGATCAGTTTTCAGGGTCAGTTTAGTTGCAGTATGTCAGAGGAAAGAGGAAAGGACTCTCTCTCTCAGATGAGTCTCTCAGAGAAACACAGGTGAGACGCGTCTGTTTTCACACACTCACTTTACACTCCACTGGACTTTGTGTTTCCCTGTCAATAACACAACTTTAAGCATTGCTCTATATTTGCAAATGCTTTGACCAACTTCAATTTTAACTTCTTAAATTAACTCTGCCAGTGTCCATAAAGCCCTGTTTGGTCTATAGAAAATATCACAGTTTTAATAACCTTCTAGACGCTGAATTATTCCAAATAAATGACTTTAGTTTTTAGATCATACAATTATTGATTGACATTAGAAAACAACTATACACTTAATTTAATTCCAGTATGCTAACAAAACTGTCACACATTTCCGCTCTCTATTCTGTCAATAAATAAAAACGTGAAATTTTCTCTTAAATTATGGCCAGGTATCTTTTAAATTCTCAACATGTTTAATCTCTCTCTTGTATATTAAAGAAATTGATAAACTAACGTGAGCCAGTAAATAAAATGATGGTTAAGTATAAAACTGTAAATTGTGTGAGTGTGTGTTTCTGTGGAGGATTAGATAAAGACACAGATGTGTTTCAGACACAGTTGATCCTCCTTTACTAAAGTGTTTTCTCTCTCTCTCTGTTCTTTGTGTCATCAGTGTAAGATCAGGCTCACATGTGTCCAGCTCTGTGTCTCTGAAGAGTGATTGCTCTAATGATCTTCCACCAAACTTCAGTGAGAAAACACCATCATCTAATGAAAGGTATTTTTACATTACAATATAGGGTTGTATTATTTGTCCACAGTGGTGTGTGTGATTGAACTTGACTGTGTAAGGGGATTTATGAAACTCACTCCAGTAACACAGTTACACAGGCAGACACAAGAGGCATAAATTCACTATGGAAAATAAATTTTGCAATTAAACATGATCATCTATCGAGTGCTTTAAGTGGCCCAAAAGAGGTACCGGTACTCTATTATTATTATTTATTATTTTATTATTTTTATTTTATTTACTTATTTATTTATTTATTTTTTGCTGACTCCTCTCTTCCCTGAGGTAACAACAACTATATTGAAGGGGTTTATATACAGCAGTCAACAGACGACTGTTATATATCGTCTGTTGTAAAAAATAATTTAATTGTGGATTTGCTTGAGCTAGAATGAGCTACTAAACAAAATAAAAAAAATGTGCAAAAGGGTATTGAAAACATTTTGAACAAATGTACACACATGTACATGTACATAAAATATAATAACCAAATAGGGGTGTGACGAGACACTTATCTCACGAGACGAGAAGAGACACGAGAACGAGACGAGAATTTTGCACAATTTTTCAGAAATCCTCAATGATGAAATTCATGACTGGAAAAATTGTATGCTGGTGCATTTTGCAATCTTTTAACTAATAATGCACTAATGCATATCATTTCAGGTCTACTTTATCTTTACCTAATTTAGTATGAATTATCAAATGCATTGAAAGAAAACAATATACAAGCACTGTAAAAGGTTTTTATTGACTGGCTTTTCTCCTGTTTGATTTCACATGAGCCTCTTCCGACCTTACTGTACATTTAAGAGCTTCCAGACCTTCTGATTGAGGCTGTGTGTGACCTCCTAACTGAACTCATTGAAGTCTGAAGTGCAAACAATAAGTGCAAGTACAACCATAATCAAAGTTAACACACAGACTCTTTATAAATGTTTTGAAATTGCTGTTTTATTTTGCACCAGCAGTTATAGGGTTAATGCGGAGAGAAACGAGGCTGGTGTGTTTGTCTCTATGTTGTTTTTCTTGTGTTCAAATCATAAGTTCAGAAACAGAGCCTCCCTTGTCTGTTGTCCCTAAAACATTACAGTACTCTCTCAATATTCGAAGTGCAGAGACCATAGCCGCAAATAAACAGTCCAGAGATGGGTATTGGGAGACGGACAATGAAGCCTAATTTGTGCGTAAAGCACATCAGGGAGCTTGTGTTTTACTTTCAAATTGGTGATCGCGCATACTCTGTGTATAAGGAGCAGCGGTGCTGAGCGTGCATTCTACAAGATAAGACATTTATCAGACTTTGATGTTGCGCAACGAATCCTCTAGCCTGGTTCAACCAGACTCTAGTTCATTTCATTTCCACATAGAGTCTGGAACCGCTCCATTGAAAAACGTTTCCTTCCTTGTAGGCGGGTTCACTATTAAAGTTCAAATATATTGGAT